TAGTCATCCTCCATCAGAATTTTGTGCGTGCAAAATGAGGGATTGATTCCTCGAATGTCGGAGATCTTCCAAGCCAAGGCTCGTTCATGACTTTTCAGTAGTTTGATCAATCTCCCCTTCTGATCCTCAGTTAGGGCCGCGTTGATGATGACGGGGAGCTTGGAGTTCTCTCGAAGGAAAGCATATTCGAGGTGGTTTGGTAACTGCTTCAGTTCGAGAGTTGGTGGTTCTTCGATGGAGGACTTGATTTTCTCCGATTTAGGGAGTTCTGCCACCTTCTCCTTCTCCTCCTGCTCCAATTCTTCGGATTCCTCCAATAGTGCAGCTTGCTCAATTTGTTGGACAGATCCCGTTGTTTCCTGTCCTTGAGTAAGGCAAAGCTGTAAAGCATCTGAATGAAGAATCTCAGAAACAAAGTTAGCAGTCTCAGCATCAATTATATCTGAACAAAAATTAGCATCATCGTTTTCACGAGCATATTTCATGCTTTCTGGAATTTTGAATGTCATTTGTTCTTCCCCTACTCTCAAAATCAATTTTCCATCATTCACATCAATTAGAGCCTTTGCAGTTGCAAGAAACGGTCTACCAAGAATTAATGACACATCGACATCCTCATCAATATCTAGGATCACAAAATCGACTGGGAATATGAATGAGCCAATTTTAACAATTAAATCTTCTATGATTCCCCTAGGATGCACTATGGAACGATCAGCCAACTGGATGCTCATTCGTGTAGGATTAGGTTCACCTAGCCCTAAACGTTTAAACATTTTATATGGCATAACATTTATACTTGCTCCAAGGTCAGCTAAAGATTTATCAATATACACAGAACCAATTAAGCAAGGTATAGTAAAACTCCCTGGGTCTTTTCGTTTCTCCGGAAGCTTGTTTTGGAGGATGGCCGAACATTCCTCATTCAGCATCACTGTTGACAGATCCTCCAATTTTCGCTTGTTGGTGAGGATTTCTTTCAGGAAGCGAGCATACTTTGGCATTTGAAACATGGCCTCCACAAATGGGATGTTAACATGAATTTGCTTCAGGAGGTCCAGGAATTTGCCGAAGTGTGCGTCAAGGCGATCCTTGTGGATTCGTGATGGGAATGGAATTTTCGGCTTGTATTCTGGCACCACGAGCTTTTGGGGCTGAGTGGTGTCCGCATCTTTTTCTGGATTTGTATCTTTGTCGGTTTGAGGGGAGTTGCTCGGTTGCAACTTTTTGCCGCTCCGGAGTGAGATGGCCTTCAAATGTTGCTTCTGCTTCGGATTGATTTCGGTGTCGCTCGGCAGGCTGCCTTGATTCCTCTCATAAAGCAGCTTGGCTATTTGCCCAACTTGTGTTTCCAAATTATGCACAGAAGCTTGAAGATGTCGTTGGCCCGCTTCAAGGTTTTGGAATCGATCCTCGGAGACGGAAATGTATTTGTCCAAAGCTTGGAATTTGGAGTCGGAGGTGGAGATGAACTTGCCAATCATATCTTCGAGACTGGATTTCTTTTCTTGTGGTGGCAGTTGTTGATGGTGCTGATTGGAATTGCTTGATGATGCTTGATTAAATCCGGGTGGGGCTCGTTGATTCCCTTGGTTGGACCAAGAGAAGTTTGGATGGTTTCGCCATCCTGGATTGTATGTGCCGCTATATGGATTTCCGCTCCTCTGAGGATTGTTGATATAATCAACATGCTCGGTGGTAGATGTTGAGGAGATCAACTTGCACTCGGTAGTGTTGTGGTCACCAGCACACCATTCGCACTTGAACACCTTGCCGGATACAGTGAGCTGGTCAAACTTTTTGTTGAGGTTTTCAACTTGTGCGGCCAAGGCTGTAACTGGGTCAACTTGGTGTAGTCCGGCACTTCTGGTTGGCTGTGGTCGGCACTTGTTTCGGGGGGAATACCATTCATAGCTATTCATTGCCATGTCTTCGATTAGCTGCTCTACTTGGGGAGGTGTTTTGTTGTTGATGGTGCCACCCCCTGCTGCATCAATTGATTGTTTCGTCTCTGGATTTAGCCCATTGTAGAAGGTTTGCATTTGCAGCCAATGGGGAATGCCGTGATGAGGGCATCTCCTGAGAGTGTTTTTGAATCTCTCCCAAGTTTCGTAGAGAGTTTCAGAGTCTTCTTGGCGGTAGGCGGCGATGTCGTTCCTCAGCTTCGCCGTCTTGCTTGGTGGGAAATATTTGGCTAAGAATTTTTCAGCCAACCCGTCCCACGTTGTGATGGAATTCCGTGGTTGACCGTCAAGCCACTCCCGTGCTCTGTTGTCCAGAGAGAACGGGAACAGTCGAAGGCGAATAGCATCGACGGATGCACCATTGATTTTGATGGTGTCACAGAGCTCCAGAAACTTCTTGATATGAGTGTTGGGATCTTCGTCGGGCATCCCATTGAATTGCACGCGATTTTGGATCATTTGTAGCATCCCAGTTTTGATTTCGAAGTTGTTGGCTTCGATATTGGGCCTTCGGATGCTTGAGTGAGTTCCGTCCAAGGTAGGACGGGCATAATCAGACATTGTCCGATTGTTCACTTCGGCGTGTTCTTCCGCCATTGTGTGTGGCTGCACTTGTTGCTCTCTCCTTCGTTGACGAAGAGTTCTCTCGATCTCGGGATCAAGGTCGACCAGTCCAAGTGGGTGGTTTCGGGTCATGCACTATTTCAAGCACAAAAACAAGAACAACCCGTGAAAGCAACAAGTGTGGTATAACAAGAAAAATAAAGCGACTAAATTAATAGTTCAAAGCTTTTTCTAATAACTTAGTCCCCGGCAACGGTGCCAAAAACTTGATCGCCCGTAACTATCACAGGAAAAATAGGCAAGGGTACCTATCGTTCTAATGTAGTATAGCAGGAAGCAAGGTCGTATCCACAGAGACTTCGTGTACTAGTACTCAGCTTTTACCTATTATCTAGTCAATCGTTTTTAGTTGATTTTCGTTTAGAAATAAAAACACACGCAATAATAAAAACACAATAAAGTAGTTTACAAAGTAAAATCAAGTGGAGAAGGCGTTGTCCTGGAAGTGAATCCCCCTAATATGCATTTTACAGACAAGTTGAATTTAACATAGACGAGTGTTAATATCTTAGACCGTGAAAATTCCCAATTTAGTGTTAACCCGTTCGCACATGTATTAACACCCTTTTGACTTAAGAATCAAGTGAAACCGTGGCTTACAAAAATCTTAAACCAAAGCAATAACCAGATTTATGAAATTTCGTATTAGGTTTTTAAGCTAATTCAGAGGAACTACGTGACCCCATTGCCGGTGGCTCCGATCAATTCCTTCTTTTCACGAGGGATCTAACATGCAAAATTACCTCGCAGTCTCATTTACATGTATCAGATAAAATATACAATAGACGCGTACTATTGATACTTGCACATGATAAGTCGAGAAAAGATCGTAAGAACGAGAACAACACGTCTATATCAAAGATACCACTCAATCAAAGTAAAACATATTAGGGTTCATCAAATCCGGAACAACTAGAAGATTAGCCGGACATGATGAGATTTAGAAAGATGAAGGTTGAGAACATAACCATGATGATGACGACGACAAAGACGGAGGGGTCGAGAATACGGTATGTATATTGAGTTAATAGACTACACCTAGCAAACATCTGACGGGGGAATAATCGTTGGGCGAAGACGGTGGAAACCGACCAATCTACCACCACAAATGATTATCAAAACCCCACAGAATAGAAGCTTACTCCGGTAATCTCAATAACGCAATATACCACGGTATTCCCAAATACGAACACGAACATGAGAACCACGATGGATGAAATACGAGATATGACTTAACGAAATGAAAAGAAGTAACAAGAGTTTGGAATGAAAAGTGGACAGAGTTTTGGCTAACTTCAAATACAAGAAAGGAAGAGCAAAGTGAAGAAAAATAATGGTAGGCTAGTGTGTGTGTCCTCCCCCTCTATTTATAGTACAAATTGAGCTACTTGCTTGAGCTACTTGCTTGAGCTACTTGCTTGTCTCTCGGCCGCTTTGATAATGGCCAGCTGCTTGCTTTCAATGGCCAGCTGCTTGCTTTCATTCAATGGGCGAGGCCATGACCAGCTGCTTGCTTTCATTCAATGGACGAGGCCATGACCAGCTGCTTGCTTTCAAATAATGGAGCTGCTTGCTTCTTTGTTTGGACCAGCTTGCTTCAGCTACTTGCTTTCATTCAATAGCCGAGGCAATTAGCAGATGCTTGCTTTCAAATAATGGAGCTGCTTGCTTCTTTGTTTGGACCAGCTTGCTTCAGCTACTAGCTTCACACGAGAATCCCAAAATGAACCAGCTTTTCCTTATGTTTAGCAATAGGCAGTTTGCGGTTTGACTCTGCATTGTTAATTAGCTCTCTTTCCGTGATTCATCACCATAATACACGATGGGTCTCGTATATTGATAACAAAAGGGGACGCGGCCGGAGTGGTACGGCTCTTTGCCCTCGCCCGGGACGTCGCGGGCTCGAGTTCCACCGACGCCAGATTTCGAACCCTAACCATCTTTTTGTTGAATTGACACATTATTCCGTTCTTATTGGATAGAATACCCTGAAACATGACTCAAACACAAAACCAAACATAAAATCGGGAAATCGAATGAACTTAATACAATTTATGTTATTTTAGGATGTAAAAGTGTAGGCAAATATATGTATAATTTAGGTGTTATCACTTATTGTCGAACCAAGTCACTCCCAACAGGTCCAGCATCGCTTCCGTCTCGTTTCATGAGTCGATTCTTGCTAGTGTGCGCAACCAAAGAGAAATGGGGTACTGTACAAAGCAACTACGATTGTGATGAGAGAGACCCAATAATCTGGTAAAGTTAAGAGAGGAGAGTAGAAGGGAAGTGACCTCGTACGTTTAATCAAAAAGCTTTTGTGGTGCTCCCAGCTTGTTGTCGAACCAAGTCACTTCCAACAGGCCCAGCATCGTTTCCGTTTCATTTCATGAATCAGTTTTTTGTTAGTGTGGCGCAACCAAAGGGAAATGGGGTACTGTACAAAGCAACTAAGATTGCGATGAGAGAGACCCAATAATTCTGGTAAAGTTGAGAGAGGAGAGTAGAAGGGAAGTCATCTCGTGTAAGCGTGGAGCTCTTGTATGGTTGGGATATATCTTCTCCCTGCTTCTGGTGCTATGTCACCCTTCTCTGCCGTCAATGGCCGATCGACCCAATCCCACAGAGTGATCTCCCTTTGTCGGAGATTGCATCACTGTTGCGTAACTCACCGGGCTAGAAACAGAATGATAACAAATGACTCTTCATCTTCTTTCTCTTTTCCAATGATTCTCCTTTTTTTTTCATTCTCCAACAGTAGGACAGAGTGAGAGATTGAGACCTATGATTCCTCTTCTCGTTCTTCTTCGACAGCAGGACAGGAAGAGCGTGACCTGGGATTCTGCCGTATAGAGTATGCTGCGAAACATGAGATTCTAGGGTGGAAGAGAGAGATGAGTTTGAGATTGGGATTCAACCGAAAATGCCACAAAAGGAGATCAGCAATGGCAAAAGCAGGGGGAATGGATTCCAAGCAACAAAAGTAAATGAAGAGTTACCTATGGCTGAGGAGAAGAGCACCCAAAAAAATTGTGCAAGAGAGATGGCAAGTGAAACTTGACAGGGGAGCGGGTGAGGGAAGAGAAGGGGTGAAAGGAGATACAGAGGAAGGAGAGAGGGATAGATGGTTGCGTATGAAGAGGAAGAGGTGGGGGATTGTCCAATGGGTAAAGCTAAAGCTCAGGGTTTCTTTGTTAGCGAGTGGGGTAAAAGAGATTGGCAGATCTCTTTGTGAGAGGAGAAGGCGAGCACGTGGGTCACTTAAGACCAAACATTTGGGCCTCCACCAGTCGCAAATAAGAAACGTGTGGGCCACTAATGAACAGTACCAAAACTGTGGCTTTTATATACCAATTATGGTTGGCACAGGTTTATGGAAGATTGGAAAACCCCACCATTGAAGCAAAATAGAAGAGAAAGCAGAGTGGGGGAAAGAAAACAGGGGACTGGAGGAGGAATCAGGGGAAGGCATCAGATTCAGGGAGCACTCTTCACACAAAAGTAAAGATTGGACATTCGTTTTCCCATTAGCATGCATGTGAAAGATGTTAATTAGGTGAAAGCAGTTCTGGCTCCAACATGGGCTTCTGCAGGAAGTGGAAAAAAAAATTGAACGGATCAGCTTCGCTATGGCTGCTGCGCTCTGCAGTGGGATTATGGTTCCAATAGGACGCAGTGTGGTATAATTCGTTCTGTAAAGCTCTGAAAAACAAGCGCCAGGAAATTGGCGGCCCGAGAGCAGCATATATTGCGGTTCATAGCGGAACCCAATGGGGTAGAACTTTAAGCGTGGGTGGACATTGGATGACAACTTGTTCAATCATTTCATACCGCTAAAACCGTGTAGCAGTTTCTAAAAACGATAGACTTTTTTGAGTTGCAATTCAATTCATTCACAAAACAAATTCGGTAAAATGTTCATTGGATTTGAAAGAACAAATTCAAACTCAATGCGTGGATATCTGCGAGTGCATGGCTACTCGGCACGGCGGGTATGATCAGATTATCAACATGGTTTTAGCAGCATCTGCAGCTCCAATGCAAAGCCTACTACTGGTTAGTTAGTTGGTAAAGAAGCCCGCGGCCTGAGAGGTGGGACGTCACTGGCAATCAGGTAATTGTTTATTCTCATGGGAAGAGGATTCGTCTGAAACCCTACCAAAGGATTTGATACCATTTGCCGTTTACTGTTGTGTAAGTGTTTTGCATAAATCTTTCCATAATGTACTTTGCTTGCTGACAGCCGTGGAAATCTGATTCTTGCTTGCTCTTTTCTCTTTTGTTTCTGGTCTCTTGCTCAGTACCTTTACAATGCTTCGAGGCCCCTCCTTCCTTCATTTTCTCGACGAATGAACCGCTAATATTGATGGGTTGACTCTTCACTCCAATTATGCAAAGATGCCAGCCGCCAAATTCAAGCAATACAAAAAGAAAGCCAATGCTCTGCTCGTTGTCAAAACTGTTGGTTGAATTGTGTAATTGCAGATCCGGACCATGATATTTTCATGGTTAATAACAGATTATGATTTATGCTGCTGAATGGGCTTCGATAAAATGTGTCATGTTATGTGATTTGCAGAATCTCCTTGAACTTAGGATGATTACTCCAGAATGTAAAAAAAAAAAAAAAAACATTTTCCCTTTTGAAAAACTCGCAAAATATTGAAGGCTGCTGCACCATTCTACGCCCTCGTTAACCCTAATTCTCTTCTCTCTCCACCTCGCGGCGATTCAATTCAACCGCCTTCCTCTCGCCGGCGCAGAAAGGACGACGTCGACAATGGAGGGCTATTTAGCTCGTTTCGTCCCGAGAAGCGTGCCCGCGCCCTTTATCAGAGCAGAAGAATGGAGCTCAAGGATTGCAGACAGTCTCGAAGAACAAAGGAAAGGAAGTGCAGAAATGAAGAACAAAGAATGCATTTACTGTTTGCTAGCCGTTAGAAGTTACAGAATCGTTAAGTGCCACGTGTATAGGCACAGTTAATTTATCTTTCAAATTACAGTTTTACTCATTTCCGTTTTTACTGTTCTGAACTCTTGGTAGTATAAATAGAAAACAGAGAGCAAGATGCTTCTCTGAGTTTTCCCCTCCAATCTTTCCAGCTGCTTGACCTAGCACCTTCTCTATACCTCCTCCTTCTTCTTATGGTATCAGAGCGGTTTTAACCCGTTTCTAACTTTCTCTTCTGCTATGGCGAACAATCCACCTCTGCAAACACCACCAGGATCTCAGGGCTCAGGACCCATTCCATTCGGCACCTTCACCTCTGCGACCAGTAGCGGTGGAGGCCAGGTTCACAACAACTCAAACAGTGAAGGTCGCCAACAGCAGAATGGTAACAACAATCATATGGGTTTAGTGTTTGGAAGTCCATATTACATTAATCCTAGTGAGAATCTAGGACATTCCATCGTTGCTGAGAGCTTGGATGGATCTAATTACCAAACCTGGCAACGAGCTGTGCGTATGGCTCTTAAGACCAAGCACAAGCTGGGTTTCATTGATGGTTCGATTCCCATGCCTGATCGTACCCATCCTGACTTTGTCTTATGGGATGCTTCCAATACCATGGTTCTCTGTTGGATTTTGAATTCAATACATAAGGATAGCAGTAGAAGTGTTTTACAACATGAGAATGCTATGGTTGTTTGGGAAGAATTGAAGAATCGTTTTGGCAGATCTAATGCAATTAAACTGGCTAATCTTTCCGATGAAATGACTGCTTGTAAACAAGGTAGTATGAGTGTGACTCAGTACTATATCACCCTTAAGGGTTTGTGGGAAGAGATTCAACAGTATAGTCCTGTTGTTGAGTGTGATTGTGTTGCTGTGAGAGTTAGGTCGTGTGCTGCAATAGTTGCTTATCGACAGAAGTTGGAAACAGATTATCTTATCAAGTTTCTTAAGGGGTTAAGGCCTGAGTTTAATGTTGTTCAAACCCAGCTTCTCATGATGAAGCCTTTACCTGCTGTAGAAACTGCTGTAGATGATATATTGCAACATGAGCAGAAGTTGAAGGGTGACAAAGGTCAAAGTACCAGGGGTATCCAGTCTGTTTCCTTGGCTGCACAAGGTGACCAGAACAAGTCTTCCACCCCAAACAAAGAGAACAAGGTTGAATCTGCTAAGGAAGGCAAGTTTTGTTGATATTGCAAAGTGAGTGGTCACCTAAAGGAAGAATGCTACAGGTTGAAGAACAAGAAGGCTCGAAGGGGTGAGGGAGGAACCTTTGTTGGTTCAGTGTCTCAATCTGAGTCACAAAGTGGTGATTCTGTTTCCTCGGGACACAGTGCTGGCTATGACAGTAAATCATCCTCTTCTGGATCTCTCAATTTCACTTCTGAAGAGATAAACAAGCTGAGACTTCTTTTGCATCAGCCTGATAGTATGAGTCCATCACCACCAGCTTCACCTTCCATCAAGCATGCCTCTTACTCAGTCTCACAGCACCTCCCATCACATCCTACCTATGCTGGTAAATATGTTCTTTCCTCATATGCTCAGCATGGATTAATGGCTTTAGCACAAGTTTGGATTTTAGACACAGGAGCATCAAATCATATAGCATGTTCACTTGCTGTATTTCTAGATGTCAGATCAGTCTTTAACCAATTTGTTTATCTGCCTAATGGCTCTAAGGTAGCAGTGAGTCATGTAGGTTCAGTCAAACTACCTAATGGTCTAATCCTACACAATGTCCTCTTAGTCCCTGGATTTACTTTCAACCTAGTCTCCATCAGTAAACTCACCGATGACCTGCCCATTTCTTTGTTATTTGAATCTGACTCTTGTCATATTCAGGACCAAACAACCAAGAACCTGATTGGTTCAGCAAAACAAGATAGAGGCCTTTACCATCTCATCACCACACCAAGACCTTCACCTGTCATTCACACTCATCAAGCTGCAACCACCTATAACTTTGAACCACATCAGATTGATCTTTGGCACTGGAGACTGGGACATCCAAGTAGGGAAAGAGAACATCAAGCTACTGGATGTAATAGGATTTCTGTTAGACATTGCCAGACTTCTCATTTGGCTAAACAAAAGAAACTTCCTTTTCCTATTAGTGATAGTAGAGTTGTTTCTTCTTTTACATTAATCCATGTTGACATATGGGGACCCCTTGCTGTTAAATCCCATGAGGGCTATTCTTACTTTCTGTCTATTGTGGATGATTACACAAGAAGTGTTTGGGTTTATCTAATGAGACAGAAGTCTGAAGCTTCTTCTCTTCTTCAATCCTTTTGTGTTATGGTTAAACAGCAGTTTGATAAGGCTGTTAAAGTGATTAGAAGTGATCAGGGGAATGAATTTCACATGTTAGACTTCTATAGCACACATGGAATTGAGCACCAGCTCTCCTGTGTTGAAACTCCTGAGCAGAATGCTCGTGTTGAAAGGAAACATCAACATATTCTAAATGTTGCCAGGGCACTACGTTTCCAATCAGGGCTACCCTTACATTTTTGGAGTGACTACATTCTACATGCTGTTTTCCTTATTAATAGACTGCCTTCACCAGTGACAGATGGAGTTTCACCTTTTGAGCTGTTATATCACAAACAACCAGACTTGAATTTGCTTAAAGGTGTTTGGTTGTTTGTGCTATGCATCCACACTACTGAGAGATAGAACAAAATTCAGCCCTAGGGCTAGGCAGTGTGTCTTCCTTGGATTCCCCACTGGAATCAAGGGTTACAAATTGTTTGATCTCAATACACACCAAACCTTTGTTTCTAGGAATGTTGTTTTCTATGAAACCATATTTCCCTTTCTAAAATCCTCAACTTCCTCTTCTTCACAACCACCTGATCCTTCTCCATCTACTGCCCCTCTTTTTCCTGATGTTCCTCAACCTTCTACTCACTCTCCATCATTCTTTCCACCAACTCAGACTTCACCTCCTTCCACCTCTTCTGATCATTCACCATCTAGTTCATCACCTTCTTTTCCTTCTTCTCCTTCCCCAGACACATTGCCTCAAACCTCAGTTCATGAAACAGTTGAGTCTCTAGGAGTGAACTCTGAAGGGGTGACCCTGATGATGAATTAGTTGAGCAACTTGATGTTGAAGATGGAGAAGGAATTGGCCCTGAGTTGAGAAAGTCTGATAGGCACAAAACTGTTCCAGTTTGGCATAAGGATTACAAAGTGGGAGCAGCTCAGAAGTACTCCATGGCCAATTATGTTACTTTTGAAAATTTACCACCTGCACACAAGACATATGTGATGAATGCTATGGCTGTTGTAGAGCCAAGATCTTATGAAGAAGC